GCCATCTACCTGAATCTGAACTCAGATATGATCAATTGGTAAGTGGCTAGCAATAATCAAATACTGAATACTCTATTCTCCTTGCAAAACTGGGTAGCTGCACAGCCTTCCAGCTGAACACTTCAAATCATGCAGCCTCCACGTACAATGGATTGCAATACACCAGTTTGAATATTTAATGGGGTATTTATAAATTCAGAAGAGGTTTGCTTTTTCCCTTCTCTGTTCCAATTAGCCCTTCCATGGAGGTGGATTGTAGAAGCAACGTGAAGATTACAGTATGTCCTTTTAATATTCAATTCTGTTAGTATGAGGATCTAGGAAGCTCTTCATGGATATATTGTAGAATATATGGATTAATTGGAGATTAAAATAATTCTAGCAATCCCCAAGTCTATATCAGTGAGACAAGACAACATGTTGTTTCAGTCCTTTTTTTTTTTTTTACTTTTTCATTTGTGGAACTATATGGTTTCAAGTAATCCTTATAATTTATTTAACCATAAACTATAGATTGCAATCATTTAAACAAATGATCATTAATGTTATTTCCAGTATCATTTATTTTGTAAATAAATATCAAACATTTGTACACAAGTTTTACACATATATACTAATTTGCACCGCCAATTTACCTACTGACCATCTTCATTCCAGTAGTTTTTATCTCACAGATTTTTTTTATGACTGAAACCATAAGCTACATGTAAGCAAATGAAAAGGGAAGAAACATGATATTTTGTTTTTTATAGCAGCATCTTTCAGATAGATTAAAATGAAACTTCCAGAATTTTTAGTCTAATCGTCCAAATATTTGGAGTGGGCCAAATCTAAAAAATGGCTTTGCATGTAAAAATAGCTTTTGCACGTACCTGCAGAATTATTAATGTAAAACTGTATTCATATAATATCAGACTGTTCCCACCAAATGTGATTAATGTATCCAAAAGAAAAATTAGCAATACAACTACTTTCTTCTGAGTCCTCAATCTAATAAAAGTTAAGTATTAAATTCTGGTCTTGCTAAATAGTTCAATCTCTTAAGAAAAGATTATGAAAGCACATTTTTAAATCCTATGAGCATTTGGTTGGGACAAAAGTAAGGGTTAACCAGGAGTGATTGAAAACAGGTATTAAACATAGCTATGTTCCAATTTTATAAAACAGAACAAAGGAGGAGCTAACTTTTTTCTGGCCAGATTCCACCAATATATGGATGAGAAGTCAAAAGTCATAGTAGGTCTTAAATATGAGGAAGGCTTGAATTTTACTTATACCATGGAGTTTTGGAGATTTTTTAAAAAATTGCATTAAGCCTTTTTTAAGGAAGGCTTTTTGGCCTTAGCTGAAAGTACACACCAATTTTTAATATGATGGTGGAGAGGTTCCAAAAGAATTGGATTGGGAGGCACAGATGGTCTGTTTTTGAACTAAAATCAGGAATAACCGCCATTATATCTAAAACACAATCATATGAATGAACCCCTTCACAAGCAGATGCCTCCTTAGCAAACTCTCAGACCATAATCTGCTCAATGTACAAGTGGTAAAAGAGAAGGCAGCAAGGGGAAGGATGGGTCAACAGTCCTTATTCATGTTTGTCTTGCTCTTAAAAAGACAGATAATCTAATCCTTCCTGTTCCCCCTTTTAAATTATATGTGAGAATTTGTTTTATTTTCCCTCAAGAGCAGTCTGCTGCATTCTTCTATCAAACCACCTTTTTCTTTCTTTTCGGCAACCAGGACACACATTGAATTCTTCAAGAGATAAAAAATGATCTCTTGCAGAGGGATCCACACGGTATGTGCTTTATGACTGCCCACGTCATGTGACCAAGTCACATTTCAAACACACCCAGAAGCAGTCAGTGTCATGCTTAAATTAAGATATGATTCTGAATGGCCCAAGCCCAGGAGAAAAGGACGGATTATGTTCTCTGTCATAATGAGAAAAGTACACAAGCAACACAGCCACAGTAAAAACACAAATCCCTCTTTCTCTTTCCTCACACAAACACCTTGTTTCTTAGCTATCGAAACGCCTTCATAATTTGGTTTTCTCATGTAACTCATCCAGTTTCTCCTCCTTTATCATGATTGATGGTGATGTATTTAGGATACAATCTTAAGACTAGACTCTTTTCGGTAAGAAGTGCAGAATATTCAGGCTCAAAACATCAATTTTCAGGATTCTTTTACATTCTTGATCTCCACTTGCATAACCAGTTTTAAAAATAAACACAACGAAACACAAATGACAGGACTGAGGAATGAAAATAATGGTAAGCCCTCTCCTCCCCCCCCTTCTGTTCTGTCGTACTTTTTCCCCCCTCAAGGAAGCATGGTGTGTGTCACCAGAGGCTTGAAAAATTGACTCTGGCCTTTCAATGTGCCATAATATTTCTGACCTGCCAATAAAATGGATACAGCGAAAAAAAGACTTTTCTGGTACCTTGTATGATTTGTGCGGCTCCTTCACACCCTATTCCTCTCTCGGTAAACCATGTAGTGTGTGATGAAGTTTGAAAGAAAAACTGCTATACCGCTAAGGAAGTGGGAGGGAGAGAAAACCTTCACAAGAAAGGAGTGAACCCACTGCTTTCTGGAGTTGTCAAATGAAAAATCTGGTTGTCATGGACTTGTGGACAATAATGGCGGCTGCTCAAACTGTCTCGATCAGGGAGAAGAACGAAACACAAATTATGAGGCTGCCTTTGACTTCTGTGACTTATTAAAGCTGTGCCTGAGCATTTATTTCTTTTGCTGGTATCCAATTCTGCTCAAACTCAGAGGAACTTATAAATAAGAAATCATATACTGTATAGCATTCTGTATAGCCTGTTCTTAACAAGACTTACTGGCTGTATAACTCAGAAGGAAAGAATTGAACTTCTGCATAATCCATAGATTTAGAGGGAGTGCAATTTTTCAAAGTAACTAAACTAAACTACAGGCTGCAGTTAAAATTGCTTTATTTTAAAGCCAGCTGAGATCCGAGGGTTTTTCAGTGGTCATTGAACTATGATTTGCAGCATCATTCATTGTGGTTCACATGTCTGAAGCTCTGGGTTTCAGCAAAAAAGGAAGGCTTCAAGAGGAAAAGTGTCTCTTAATGTAGCCACAACTTTCTTTAGGCTCATGCAACTTCACTACCACCACCTTGAAAAAGATAATGCCACAATGAATACCAGAACTACACCACACTTCATGAAATCTAAAACAGGGCTTTAAAAAAAAAACATTTGAGAACTTGATGGAGGAAGGACTGAAGGAGACTACGGATGAAAAAAAGTTCATGCAAATGCAGCAAATCCTTTATCACTAGCACTTTGCCATTTTATATAATGTATGTATGTGTGTGTGTGTGTGTGTGTGTGTGTATGTATGTATGAAAGAAATATATTTGCCATCCATCTCATATTCAACAATTCTGGGCAGCTTACAGCAAAAAACATTAAACCATTAAAAAATATTAAACTTGACAATTATGGAAACACATGAATAAAATCATTAACAAATAAAGTCATTAACACCAGATGAGAAAGGAGGGAGCTGGACATACAGGGGTGGGAAGGTGAGATTAAGTTTTAATTAGTCAACCAGCTCCAGTAAGAAGCTCCCCCATTGGGGAGGTCTTAAAGCTCTTTTGAAATGTCAGGAGTGTGGGAATCTTACCCCACTTCAGGAGGTAAGATGTTCCACAGAGCTGGAGCCCACAGCAGAGAAGACTCTTCTCCAGGATTCCGCCAGCTGAAATTCCTTGGTTGATGGGATCCACAATATGCCCCCTCTGCTGGCATGGGTGGGGTGGGCCACTCCTATTGGGGTGAGATGGCTCCTCAAGTACATTAGAACCATGCCATGCAGGGCTTTAAAGGTGATAACAAACACCTTGAATTGCACCTGGAAGCAAACCAGCAACCAGTGCAGCTCATGAAACAGTGATGTAATATGGGCCCTTTTGAACAGGAATCCTGCAAATATATATTTTTAATTAATAGATTTTTCTGGCTGAAAAGTTCAAAAGCCCTGATCTAAAGGGTTTCTTCTGAATTACTGTCAAACTGAACAGAGACTGAGGAAATAACACTGAATTTATGGACAAATAATTTAATTTGATTAAGGCAGGCTCTTCAACCTTAGGCAAAATGATACCTTTAAAAGAATGCAATTTACAAATTCAGTCTAGACATAACAGGGATAGGCAAGAACATGGAATTAGTCAGACCCCACACCAACTTGATAAAATTCTAATAAGTAAGGAAGGAAAACTATTATCAAAAATTTATAAATACCTATTAGAGTTAGAAGAAGAAATAGTGAAGGGGCCAATGATAGCGTGGGCACGAAATGTGGGGCGAAATATAAATTTAGAGGAATGGGAAAGATTATGGAACAGAAATTGCAAATTGACGCTATCAACTGCATATAGAGAGAATCAATATAAAATGATTTACAGATGGCATTTAACACCGGCGAGATTGGCCAAAATGTATAANGTATAGCATATGCACAATGTTGGAAGAGTGAAAATATTCCCACAAATGATATGATTATGTATAAAATTTTGGAATGCGCAGAAATGAACAAACTTACGTTAGAATTAAAAGACAAGGAGACGTCAGAATTTTATGAAATTTGGAATAAATGTTATAATTGGCTAGAACAGAGAAAGAAAAAGACATAATTATTGATGTACATAAAATGTAAATAAGATGTAAATAATATTTAAAATGTAAAGCACTGTTCTGTTAGAAGAAAAGATTTATGTTTATGTAGTTTTTGGTGTATGGTGAAAAATTTAAAAAAAATTAAAAAAAAAAAAAAGAATGCATGTTGTAAAGACGTAACATAAACAAGATTGTTGTACGTTCTTTTATACATGCGTCTTTGGTTTACTGAAATAAAATTAAATCTGTTAGAGTCCAAGAAACCCATGACAATCCAATTCTTTCCAGATGGAAAGACTATGAAGGAGGTCCCTTTACCCAGGGCGTTACCTGTGGATGAGGTAGATACTACAGTTGCTGTGGTTGTTGACTGTGGTGGGCTGGTGCTTTCCAACAGGCAGGAACTGTTGGCGTTGTTTTCTTTCTTCACATACATTTCTGTGGCGCTAGGCAAAGGGATGGGGTGACTAATCCCCAGCTCTTCCTCTTGGGCTTGTTGTCTTCTCAACGCAACCTGGAAAAGGGAAAGTTACACTGTATTTGCACTGTTATCTGAAAAACAGCAGCAGCAAAATTGGGTAGAGCACTGCAGTTTTCTTCATCTTAACACACAAGAAAGGTTTATAGATGCAAATTAAGATGTAATTTTAAACCTAAAAAATTAAAGAAGATAAAAGATAAAGATAAATATTTTTTAAAAAAACTAAAAGGTAAGCATCTACCAATAAGATTTCTAATTTGGCAGCTATCTAAGCTTAGTTAACTGATATTTTTTAACCCTTTGCTTTAGTGAGTTTGGAAACCCCCTGGAATGCAGACCAATTCAGATCCTTGGATTTGAAGGATCAATTTCAATTATAATTAAATGAACCCTTTTTATTGAAAAGCAGAGATGGAGATTCTCTTCATGTTTTTTAAGGAAGGATTTAGTCTAGTAGAGTGAGTAGGATTAACAGCATATACCTTTCATAAATAACATAATTTTTCATCTTTATCGCATATGCATGAGATGTCTTTTGGGCATCTCAGGATGTGAGCCTTATTAAAGCAAAAGAATATAAAGTACCTGATACAGAATTTCTGCAGTAAATGTGAGATTATTCAAAGCCCTATTCTGCTCTGGAGAAGAATTAAAATCACGTTTAAAGTTCAGAGCACTCATTTTACAGAAATCTCACTGAAGCCAATCCAGGCAGATCTTTCCTGAACACTATTTTATAAATTATCTTATGCTTGTTTCAATATAAGCAAAGTGAAACAAGACTATGTATTCTGGGCCACTTAATTGCACATGTGTAAAATATATACAGTATGTCTCTCATTCAGAGTTACCATTAAGAAATGGCATTTTTCCAAAGCACAAAGCCTTTAACAGTTACATAATATTGAGCAAGAGTGTGAATAATGTTTCAAATCTGAACTGTTCTGAACTCAAAAGATGCCTGTCTTAAATATAAAAAGACTAGTTCAATTATTTTGAAAGTGTTCTTAGCCGAAACAAAATTGTTGGGAGCACAAAATGACTTTCAAAATGACTGGGATGGCCTGTTTCAAACTTGACATGTTCTAAACACACCAAATTTTGAGAACTAACTAGAAGGAATAATACTGTATAGCTTTTTCAGACTGGTACAAAATGAAAAAGTAGGTTAACTGATAAGAAAGAAGCAGAGTGCAGAAACAAGAGGCAGATGTAATACCAGAGCTAAAGGAAGCAAAAACAGGCATACAAATATCATTAAACCAAAACACATTTTAACAGTTAATGCACCAGGAAGGAAAACATTAATAACCAAGTCAACTGATATTAATTCAATGGAAATGTAGAACTTTTGCATCTTTTTAACAGATTAAGTTTGGATCGGCTGAAGAGGTAAGTTTTTTTTTTAATCTAAGAAAGCATTTTTTTCAAGCCAAGACACTCCTGGTAAAATGCGCTGTAATTTCTATAATCCCAACAGCGTTGTGGCTGGGGATGATGGGTGTTAAAGTTCAAAGCATCAGAGTCTGCAAGGAAGATTTGATCCTCACGCTCTCATATACCTAAGCAACTACAACTTTATTGCAACCAATAAATTTATAGATAATGGTATTGAAATTAAACATTTCTGAATCAGAAGTGTTTCATGGCAATTAGGTCTGCTGGTGTTGGGCTGCAAAAATTTATTTTTCTCTTTGCTGCCTCTTAGTTGTTATTCAGATTTTTGCAGCCCAGAACTGAGAGCCTTACTATAATTACAGTTTTCACATCTAATGCTGCAATTTGCAACATATCTAGGATCAGGCTAGTAGATACAAGCCGTTTGCTTCCACACAGTTCTAACAGGCATGTATTTACAATGGTTCAAGGGTCCTGGGGTCACGTGACTGACATTTGCAACCTTCCCAAGGAGATTCCAACAAGCAAAGTTAATGGGGAAGCCAGATACACTTAATGACTGTGTAATTCACTTAAAGACCACGGTGATTAATCACCATGGGAAAAAGTTTGTAAAACTGGGCATGACTCACTTAACAACCACACTGCTTAGCGACGGAAGTTCTGGTCCTTACTGTAGTCATAAATCAAAGACTACCTGTATGCCCTGGATTGCACAGGCTAAAATTCAATCCTTTCTTCAAATGGTAAAGATTCCTTTTGAGCCAAGCTTAACTCCGATCGGTCTTTGCCCAGACAGTTTTGCAGCAATACAGAAGAGATTTATTATTAGTTGCTCTTATTAGTTGTTTCCCCCCCCCCCCCCAAGTTTAGCCTATATTAACCTTCCAATTTCGGCTGAGTTTCCATTCAGGTATTAACCAGATCAGTTTTAATTTAGCCTAGAAGCAAACTGATATACATACAGAACCATTGGTTTAATAACTTCTCCTTATCGGTTATCTTCACGCGTGTAAGACTATAATTCCCCAAATGGCGTGTGGTTACAATGACTGATGAAGGCTGTTGTCCATAACATTTAGAGAGCAACACTTTGGGAAGGCCAGATTAGACACTAAGACTTTAGTTTTTACACTAAACTCTCATATTTAAGTATGAGACTAAATCTAAACTTATAAATTGTCTGAATAACAAAAGGTATGTTGCTTTACTACTACTATTACCTGACTTAGCCGTTTAGTAATGCTTTCTAACATATGGTATTTAAATGGACAAAGTCTAGGCCAGTGATGACGAACCTTTTAGAGACCGCGTGCCCAAAAACTGGCCCCACCCTCATTCCACCCCTGCCCCGCCCCCACCCCGCCTGCCCACAGGGCCACTCACCGCCTCCAAGGCCCGCCGTAGATTGCCCAGGCAGCCCAGCAGTGCCATGGCAGCCACGCCCTCTGCCCGCGCCCAGCAGCATCAACTGTGCGTGATGGGATATGAGGGAAGAGTCTTGTCTACGCTGCCTGGCTGCCATGTCCTTGGCTGTGCTGCTTCCAGTGGGCCACGCTCCGGGGCGACTCTCCTCTAGGGAGCCTGCTGGTGAGGAGGGGGTCGCGGGGGAGGCAAGGCTGGGGCAACGGCACGTGTGCCCACAGAGAAGGCTCCGAGTGCCACCTCTGGCACCCGTACCATAGGTTCGCCACCACTGGTCTAGGCTTATCCTCATTCTTTTTCAAGAGATGACTAGAAACTTGGTAAGGTGCCGATATTCTATCTTTCTTCCATGCAGCTAGCATGAAAAACAAGCCAAGTAGTCTTGCAGAAATTCAAAGGGTTGCTAAAGAAGGACAGGGATTTCTTGTCCTCTATAGGTAGATTGCAGTATCTACCTAGTAGTCCTCACCTTATAACCATTCATTTAGTGACTATTTGAAGTTACGACCACACTGAAAAAAATGACTTATCACCAGTTTTCATACTTACGATGGTTGCAGCAACACCATGATCTAAATTCAGGTATTTCCAACATTTGGACTGTTTCATTGTCATATATTCACCATTTGTAACAGACAACTTCTGACAAGCAAAGTCAATGAGGGAAACCAGATTCACTTAACAACTGAGGTGTTTCTCTTAACAACTGTGACAAAAAAGAACGTAAATGCACAAACACACTTAACTGTCTTGCTTAAAAATGAAAATTTTGGGCTCCATTGTGGTCGAGGACTACTTGTATTTAAATGAACATGCCAATCAAACCATAAAAGCTAAAATATATTATAATTCAGACATATATTACAAAACCCCAACTCACAGATGATCTTTTTTTTTTTTTTACCAATAATTGCTAACAGAACCAGGCTGTATTTAGCAATCACTTCTTTTTTAGTGATGTAAACTGAACTACTGAAGAACTTTCTAAAGCCCTGTCCCGTTTGTAGTTTATAGAGGCATCAGTGTGCCTCTACTACCCAAGTTTCTTCCCTGATCATCTGGTAGGTTCAGCCCATGATTTAAACAGCTTTATGCCATCATTTCCATGTATCCGTTAGCCAAAACCCAAGAATGACACATGATTCTTCCACACTTAGTTCTTTATTGTTTTCATACCTGTATAGACAAAAATCTTGTCAGACTGAGGACTACTATCTGCACCTACAATATACTATGTAAACTATTGGAGAGGAGCTGTCTTCACCCTTTTTCTCTCACATGTAATGTCCAGACCGAGTTGCCTCTTACTCCTCTGGACTGCCCCCTCTTCCTCCTGGGGACCCTCCTCACTATACTCCATCCCAGTATCAGAATGAGTTTTACCCACTGTTCCATCATAGTATGAAGGCAGATTAAATCTGCAACTTCTGGCACCCATTCTTCATGGTGCTGAGGTCAGGTGATCAGCTGCAGTGTGTTTGGGGGTTCATGGTTTGTGTCCCTGCGTGATCACTCCTCTCTGGTCACTGGTCTGCTTCTTTGGGTGCCACTTCTTATCTGCCACTATAAAGCTGACAGTGACCCTCTTAAAGTATTGAAAACCTCTTATAATGTAAAAACTACTAACAAAATCAAAAATTTTAAATTGAATGCGAGCTCATTCAAGGTCATGGCTAAAATCATTTCCTAATGGCAATACATATTTTATTTACTTGTTACTTGCAAACATTCTTAAGGAGATCAAAATTATTTTTTACCTATTAAGTCCATACAAATGAACAAAACCTCTTAAGAAATAGAGATTTTTTATTACATCTTTACCTTCATTCTATACTCCCTCTCTTTACAAGCAATTCCCATTTATAGGATCCTCTTCCCAATCTTGGATTAATAGTAAAAAATGTGGTTGTTTCCTTTGGAGAATTTGAAAGAAACAGCTTAGGTTTAAAGGAGATGACTACACTCTGCAGAAGAAAGTCTTTCCAAAAGACAAAGTTTGCTCATATTCACTAAAGCAATCAATTATGGGAGCAACTTTTTTTAAAAGATAAAAAGCAAAGCAGGGCAAACCAGCATAATAATTACTGAGATTGTAGTACAGGAAATTTTGACCTAGATAGTTGTGGTCTTATAAATCCCATGACATTCAATTGGACATAACTCTAGATAAGTGCAAAAATAGTATTTAACAATTGCCCTTTTGTAATGTCTTGAAAGTGTAAATCCATGTGGTTTCTGTGCCAATTTCTTTTTTAAAAAATTAACACCCTGATAAGCCAAAGAATTGGGCATTGATGGTCATGCAGTGTAATGGCATTCTACTTTTGACTTGCCAAACTGGCATTCTTGAGATGTTTTGGACTACAATTCCCAACCCATCTGGAGATTGCTAAACTGGGGGAGGCTACATTGAAAAAAAAACTGTTGAAAGATTATGACAGCAGTCTTTCCAAAGTATTCAGAAATGGCATAAACATTTTTTTATAGTTTACAATTATTTATAATCTTTAAAATGTTGATATTTGAAAACTTCAGTATAATTTTTCAAATTCCTCATGATTCAAGCTAAACATTTTGAATGAAAAAAAGAAATGAAAAATATATTAATTTACTGTTTTCCAACAGGAAGAATTTTTAATACAATGATTTTGCAATTCAAAATGCTGAATACATTATTTTGCAAAAATATTTTTTCACTCAACTGAATTTTAAGCCTTGTAACTGAAAACGAAGACATAAACACGTTGCTGCTTGTGCAGTTAGTAAAATTTGACCTCATTAAATCTTCATTGATTAAAAACTAAACTAATGGTATGAGTCTTTCATTGACCTAGTAAGGATGTAGGACTAGAACCTACCACCTTTTCATTACCTTATTAAGCATTATTTTCACTATAAGAATCAGTCTCACACTTACAAATGCAACTATGCAATTTGCATTATCCATTGCAGGATTTCTTTCAATCGCACCCTATTTTTGCTTTTCCTTTTAGATACCATACACTATATAACAAGCATTATTACCTGCAAGTCAATCCTAGAAAATTAGGAAGCCCACCCTATCTGAACGAATGCTAAGAAAGGGGGGGGGAGTGGAAACAGACAATAACGTTGAATTACATAATGGATATTATTTGGACAATAAAAAGGCAATGCATACTTTTGTTGGAAGCCAGAACAGTATCTTAAGCTGTGCGGGATATACTTTTCTCCCAATTTATTCTCAACTCTGGCAACGATTCTTGCAAAAAAAAAAAGTATCCGAGAGTTTTTTACACAGCAGGTCAAAACTACCCATTTCTCTGGGGTACAATTTTAGGCAATGAGGCTAGCCTTATTTTCCAACCAGCATCACCGAGCGGTAATAAGGCCACCCTGTGCTTTTTCTGCCCCGGAGCCGGGTCCCCGCCATTTCTTCCTTGCTTAACCCTCCGGCTGCTCACCTGGGCGGCCATCACCCGTTGCCTCTCGGCGATCAAGCTGCATTTTTTACACTGGCAATCTCTCCACATGCAGAACCGCTTGTGGCCCTTCAGGGGCGAGGAGTAGCCGTGGTTCCTACAGCGCGCGCACTTGGGGAGCCGCGGGGATTTTTTCCCCGCAGCGGTGGCGGTCCCAGCAGGACCCTGGCTTAAACCCCCCGCGTTGCCGCCGGCTGCGGTGGCCGCTAGCCCGGCAGACTTCCCCAAAGGGCCCATTTTGGTCCCCTGGGTGTGATGCTCCGAGGAAACCGACGGTTTACTGAAGGAGGTCTCGTTAGGCATCGCGCCTTTCGGAGCCAAGAATTGCGAAGAATTGCTCGACTTTGCAAGGAAGGGCTCGATTTTAATCTGAGCCTGAAAGGACGGGCGAGGGTCCCCGGAGGACACAGCTCGCCTTGGCCTGCAAAAAGGGTTGCTTGGCTTGGCTGCGGTCTCCGGAGGAGCCGGCTGGCAGGTGGCAGCAAAGCCGTGCAAAGTAGCAGCGCACCTCGTCCCTTTGCAAAGACGCGGGTCAAATGGGGAACTTGCTGAACTTTTTTGCTGTTTGTTTCAAGGTATATTCCAGAGCCCGGATCCACTCCCGGGAGCAATAGGCTCCACCCCCGCAAAGCCTTCTGCAAGCCTGACCCCCTGGCTAGGCCCAGTCTATGAGCTTTCTTGCAGAAGAGAGGTTGGAAGGCAACGGCCTTTGGCTCGGAAGCTTGTGACAAGCTTCAGGTTTTAGCCCACTTGCAAATGTCTGTGGAGATTCTCAGTCATCCATGTCGCGATTGTCCCAAAGGTGCTTTTTCCAAAAGGCAACTGGACTTTCTTGGGTTTTTTTTTTCCTTTGAAAACCTTCGCTTCTCATCCAAGGAGAACTGAAGAAGCTTCTTGGATGAGAAGCGAAACGTTTTCAAAGAAAAAAAAATCACCAAGCAAGTCTAGTTGCCTTTTGGAAAAAGCATCTCTGGGATAGCCCGCTTGCAGTATTTGCAGCCTGCCGAAACGTAGCGGCGCGGTTCTTAAAATAACCGGGTTGGTCTTGAAGGCGCCACCAAAACTTCGCTGGCTTTGCTGGTAGGAAACGTTTCAATCAGACACGTTTCCATCGCCCATTCTAATGCCGTTGATTCCCAAGGATGGGTGCAAGCGAGGCAGGTTGCGTGCAAATTCGAGCCGCTCTCGCTCAAGGGCAAGGCCGCGTTTCTGCAACACAACTCTCACGGCAAGAAGGGATCCACAAGTTGTTTTGTGGCATGGAAGGCAAATAGAATGGATGGCGTTGATCACTTTTCATGATAGGGGGGGGAGCCTGAGACGCAAACATGAAACGTTTTTAGTCTCGTTTGTGGCCTTTTCGGGATCCCATTTGTCCACGGTTTCTTTGCAAGCCTTTTCTTGGCGTTCGTTCCTGGAGGACTTTGAGGTTGCAGCGTTGGCGAAGATGAGCGCGTATAATTGGAAATAAGTCTTCGTGGGGACTTAATTTCGTCCTTGGGAAGGATGGGGTGGGGCTGGGGGGCAGAAGACCAGCAGAAATATGTCTCGGGCCAGACGATTTATGGAGAACAGCTGCTTCCATACCTAACTTCCACTTCATGAGAGGGAAGAGAAGTGGGAGATTTCCGTCCAATTTCACATCTAAGTCTGGCTGATTAACGGCTAAAGCCGCCTCCTCCCTGGAAAATTCAAGGTTTCTCTTTGGTCGGGATTCTGAGAAATAGTTCTGAAACGGTTGTAAATTTGAATAATAATTCTTAAATATGTGGTCGTTTCCTTCAAAGGGTCTGAGGGACGAACACTTTTCTGTTCCAGAAACTTTATTAAAAGATGTCCGTTATCAATTGTCGATTGGCATTTTCGCTGTTAGAGGAACATTTGTAAGTACTTCTTCCCACCCACCCTAAAAGATATTGCATATGATAGCGGAATTTAAACAAATTTCAACATATATATGCGATTCTGACGTTGTTAAACAAGCGGGGAAATGCAAAAAAGAATTTTAAGTATTTCATGTGAAACACCTGAACAGAAATGGGAATTTGTGGATTTTTAGGGGAGGGGAGGCAGCTAGAGGTAAGATTTCTAATTCAGACTGCAGTTGAAGCATAAAACAGTAATTCCCACCACAGAGGAAACATTATTGCTGCTGTGATAACATTCCAGGTTTGCCTCTTAAGAATTCCCCCCTCAAAATTATAACTTCAACAGCAAAACCTACTTTACCTAAGGTGACAGTGAAACAAAATGAACCGATGTATGTGCCATCAATAGAAAAATGCTGCTTTCTCAGTCTTTTTCCAGTGTATATAAATTAGGGCATTTCACCTACAGTAGTTAGAGAAGAATTCCTTCCCCCTTCCAGGTCATGTCAGGGCTGGTCAAATGTGATTATGGAGGCAACTCTACTATTCATAGCATTTTTAAAAAAAAAAAAATACAGGCCTTTATGCCAAATTGCCAATGTGACAGAATATGATGCGAACAACCAGATTGATTGTCCAAAGTGGGGCCAGAAGGAGAATTTTGATCCCCAGAGAAACTGGCAGAAAAGATTTAGAGGTCAAGCTGTCTTCTAAGCCTTGATCTAAATCTTATATTATTAGTTATGTTTACATGACATGATAGCCCAAGGTAATGGATCAATAAGAAGGTATGTGCCACAGAAAAACATCTTGCAGAAATGGACACTGCAGAGAATATATTTTGTTAATCAGATTGAGATATATTGTGTTCTGAACTCCAGTGGTATAAATCCTTTTTGGAGTTGCAGAAACTAATCATCCATCATCGCCAGCCTTGTTTTCAGATTTTAATTTCTGTATATCCAGAACTGTAACTGCTCTGAGCTTGGATAATAATAGTGCCTGATCTTGTTGAGCCTTTCATTAGCTTTGCATAATATGGAACCAAACTTTTGTCAGTGAACAGAATCAGTGCCCTAAACTCATGTGCAGTCCACAAGGTATGCTGGCTACATATGAAAGGCTGCTGATGAGTCCTGTAGGCTTGTAGTGGCAAAGGACCTGTAGTGGCAAAGGGAATTAAAGAAAAAGAACAATGAAGAATTAAAACCTGTAGGAAAGGACATTATGAAACATTATAGGAAATGGACCTCTGGTGCGTTCTTATTAGCTGTTGAGATCGCTTTTGTAAACAAGAGGCTTCAACTGTGTTTTTTCACTAAAATAAATTTATAGGTTACTTAAGGTAAATACATTTGCATGTCAAAGTGCTACATAAACACCTTCCCTCTGTAAAGATGCACTGGGATGTGACCAGAGCAGGGGTGTCAAACTGCCGGCCTGCGAAACCGCGCCCACCCCATTGCCGTCAATGGCAAAAAAAGTCACGATACATCGCGACACGTCATGTGATGTTGCGAGTTTGACACCCCTGGACTAGAGGGTCACATGACAATCAGCTTTGCTGTTCTTGGGAATGACCAGCAGGACTTTATAGAGAAGATGGCTGGTCACTCTCTCAGATTGAGAATTATAAGCAAAAATTTGTCCTAGGAACAGGATGCTAGGCTATTCCACCTGATACTAGAGAACACTGATGCAACGTTACTGAGAAGCAGAAGTGTCCACAATTTCACATTATTTTCATGTTTACGATGCAAGTGATATGGTTGTAGACACAGCATGATAGTCTATAAATAGCCACCATAAGTTAATTGTTTGTCATAAGCACCCTTAGAGTAGTCCTGGATTTGAAACTAAGTCCTTCATTATATAATTATGGGAAATCACTATTTCTTATACTGTAAGTCACACAGATTGCTAAGAGCAAATATTGAGAGAATTATAAGAATACCTTTTGTAAGAATAAAATCACTTAGGATGCAAATAGCATCTACAGTATATATGCCTTAAAATGTGGGAATTGACATACTTGAAGATAGGTTTATTCATATCTTATATGCAGAGCCTGAGCAGTTTTGCTCTGCTAAAACAAGTGTTTGTGGACTATGTGATGAACACCTAGTAGAGGATCATAAATGGCAGCGCAGTTATAGCGTGCAGAACTCTTCCAAACTGCTTTTGATGTGGCGATACCACACATCTGTTAAATATTAATATAGTTTGATCCTTTTGTATTTAATTACATATTCCACCAATGTAACCAGAATAGACACTTCTATCTAACAGAAAAGTAATTCTCCAAAAACCAGAACCACATCAAATTTGGACTGGTAAGATAAGCTGAGATTGGATCTAGCCATGGTTGTGGAGAAATGCATTCCAGAAAATCTCCCCAATGAATCATAAAAGATCATAATTGTGCAAACCACAGTATTCCCTCTGACACTATGGAACCAAAAGGTGGACCTTGAGCGAGCAGAATGGGAAGAGTGTTGATGCTTTTGAATTTTAGTGTTGGAGAAGATGCCTGGGAATACAGTACCACACAGACAGCCAAGAAAACAAACCAATGGATTGTTGAATGAATCAACCTACAAATGTCCTAGCCTACACAGACATGGTATGCAAAGATGTAGCTCTCTGGAGAAGTCTATAGTGCTGGAAAAGGTGGAAATGAGAAGAAGAGAATAGCCAACAGCAAGATGGATGGATTTAGTTACAGTGCCAATGGCTACACTGCTGGAAAAGTTGAAAAATCAGGTTAGGGATAGTCACAGATAAAAATCTACTTATGTGGTTGCTAAGAGTTGACACTGAGTTGATGCCACATACCTAATGAATCCTGCAAGAAGCGGTTGAGCAGGTGTTCACAATATTATCCATTCTGAGCATTCTCTACCTCCCTTTCTGCTCACATGAAGAGCAAAGGGTATTCTGCTCACTCAGTAATTTTCAGTACATATGTGTATATATACACACAAGTAGTCCTTGACTTACAACAGTTTCTTAGCAACTCTTGGAAGTTATAACAACCCACCCCAAAATGTACTTATTTAATGTTCGGACAGCTGTCCTCTCCCATGTGTACGTGACTGCATTTGGCTGCTCAGCAGCTAGCTCGATTTAAGGCTATTTGCAATGTCCCTGATTTGTGATATTTTTGCTGGAAATCAGTGTTTATATCCTGCTTCCAGCAAAAGAAAAATGACCATTTTTACTTAATAATGGCTGCAAAAAAACCCCAGTAAAATCAGGTGCAATCATAATTCTGGGCTCAATTATGGCTGTAAGTCAAGGACTACCTATATGTATGTATGTAGATGAGAACACAGAGACACAATGCAAGGGGAAAACTTAAGTTCACATACATACATAATGTTCATTATACAGAAGAAAATATAGGTGAATCTTTTAGCTTTTGCTGGTAAAGTG